TATATATATGCCTGCAATATGAAGTGTTTCTAACTCTCAGCCTCTCAATAGGTCACTTGAGCCACTGTTAAGCATTGATTTAACCCTTTTCTGTCTCAAGAATCGAATTCATGATCCATTAGATACTACCTCAAAGAAAGAGCAATTAAGTTAAGCTCCTCTCATTGCACTAGGGGGTTGGCATACCTGGGCTAGTAGTTGGGTGCCATGGCTTCAAATTTAAGAATGAAAAACAAAGCAGAATCACAAACTGACAGTTAAAAATGTTCCACACTTGGCAGACACACAAAAAGAAACGAGTGGCCAAATTGTTCCATTTAGCAGCCTGATGGATTGGCTTTTGAAAATGTAGGATTTTCAGAAACACGGCACATTCGGGGAGCAGTGAGAGGAGAAGGAGGGATGGCCTCGGCACCCCTCAGCCTGTGTGGTGTAATAGTGGCGGAGACGTAGGCTGAAGTTTTCGCTCTCGCGCTCTTCTGTCTTCGTCCACCTAACAAGCCCATCTTGAAGCTGTTGCTAGGCTACACTGGTCCGTTGTTATCCTCCGGCTGGTGGCATTTTCAGTCTTCATGTCTGCTTGTTCGTATCGGTGTGTGCGAGTGTATGTTTGATATCCTTAATGCAGAAAAAGACGGAAAGGCAAAGTGCAAAATGAAGGACAAGGAATATGATTAGAAGTTTGACCCTGAAGATCCACGAATTACATTAGTGCTTTGTGTGTTTAGCGGCATATCCAATTGATACTACCTCTGAACATTAGTTAGATTAGTGAAGTTTAAGTGTCCTAATCACCCTGCAGTAAGGTAAGCACTAGATTGAAAAAAATAAGAATCTGTGTGCTTTCATAATAGCAAATTTTGAGGTTTAATCAAAATTTTAAGGCAAGTCTGCATACATATGTGCTCAAAACAGCCCCTATGTTATCTGCAAGGTAATTAAAGTAAACTAAAACTTAACAAAAAACAAAAACTACATGTAAAAAAGTTTAGTTAACTAAAACTAACTGAAACTGTTTTTGAACAGTTTCAATAAAATAAAATAAAATAAAATTAAAGATAGAGGCACTTTCCTTAGTTTTAGATTTTTAGTGTGGTAAAATCCTTTATAAAACTCACCTTATTAGCATAATTTATTATTGAGACTTAAATCTTTACAAGGCTGCTTTCATCTGCTTTCAAAAAGTTCTCTTTTTGTATTGTAATACCTGTACTGATTTCCTGAATCTTGCCTATGGCATATGCCCTAATAATAACTAATGATTAAATGCAGAGTGTTGCATAAACACACAGAGAGTGAAAAGAGGTGGGTGTAGAAGAAACACTGCATCACGGGAAGTCCACAGTAGTCTAGGCCTATTGCAGCACACCTAAAGAGCGCTTTAGGGCCTCCTGATCTACCTAAACTGGGAGCTGGTTCCATAGAAGAAGGGCCTGATAGCTGAAGGCTCTCCCTCCTGTTGTACTTTTAAACACCTTAGGAACTCTGTTGTCTGAGAGTAAAGTGCTCTATTTGAGTTATAGGGTATTATGAGGTCTTCAAGATAAGATGGGGCTTGATTATTCAAGACCTTCTATATAAGGAGAAAGATTTTAAATTCAATTCTTGATTTAACAGAAATTTTAGTTGTTAGGCATGCTTCAATCAATGGCATCGTAGACTTCACAGATCTTAAGTAGAAAGGCTGAAAAATATTAAATCTAGGCACCAAAATAAGGCTCCACACATTGCCCTAAAAGGTAAACAGTAAAGCTTTCAAAGAATATGGGATGCTTGGAACAGTTTTCTCTTGTACGTAAGAGCTCCACTGATTGGCTGTAGGTCACGAGAGACACAGATGTTTCTGGGTCCAGACAGTGTGAACCGCGCTCCGTGTCACCTGTCATGCTAACCCTCGATTTACTCTGAGGTTGCAGAAATTGCAGAAATACAGAAGGATATGGGAATATGATTAGCAGTCACTCAGACGCATCGGTGAGAATGTGTACAGGGCCGCCTGCAC